GCGCCCATGTAATATCTTCTATTTCTTTCTTAAGCTTAATTGTGGTAGCTTGTAAAGTGTTTTTTAAAAGGGCACTTGGATGAAAACGCCCCAATTTTTGAAAGTCTGAGTAATTGAAGTATTTGAGGATAATATGACTCAATTGAGACTATGTAAACCAGATTAGTGAACATTTTAGCTTGGGAGCCACTTGCAGATGAGAAATTTTGGGTTAAAAGCAAAAAGAACAATAGGGTTGAGTAAATGACGTCAGTTTACTCACATTTTAGGTGCTGAATAAAATTGATAATTTTTATCCCCCACTTTTTACTGTGAAGAAAATATGTTGCTTGGCTACTATTGGGGCCATATAGATAAGTTTAACCAAGTTTCAAGTCATTTCCAATTTTCATCGATTTTCATCCAAGTGCCCCTTTTAAGRTGTCTCCATATTCTATTGACGGTCTTAAAACAATGCGTAAKGAATTGGCTAAATATACATTGATACGAGAATATCACTTGGTTTAAAACGCCAAAGTATTGCACAAAGACGAATAAGGCCTATTGTGCAAGAAAGATTGTAAATGATGATGGCAACTAACCTGTCTCTTGTAAGGAGACACAATGCCAATCATTTCTGGTTTCATCATCTTCATTCTCTTACTCCTTACTCTGTCGTCGAGCAGTTTCTTCAAGTACTTTTCAATCGTCTCCACCTCCGACACGTTAAAGAACGAAGGGCTTCGTTCTTCGCGCTGATCTTCTCCAAACACCGGATGAACTATGATGGGGAATCGAGGGTTTGGCAACTCTTCCCAGTTTAAAAAGAGGTTGCGGAAATCATCTGCGCACTCGTTCAGCTCGTCCTCGTAAAACAACTTCTTTGGTATCTCTATGATAGCTTTGTGAGAGCGGTAGTTGTTCACTAGCTTAGTCATCACCTTGTTGTTGTACTTTCCTGTCGCTTCGGAGCGTTTGTAAACCGATCGTTCCATCAGACGTTCGAGAAGTGACATGCCTTAAAAGTACATAATAACCAAATAATTATAATTYATAAAAGCTTAATCCATGATTGCAGTCAGGTTTTGCAGTTACTGTCGTTCAACTCTAACCATAAACACTCAAGTTTATTTTATCTTAATTATTTATTTCTGTAAATAAACTTTTATTTTTTCTTTCTCTTTTATCATTTCATCCCCTTGAATAGCTTTTATAGACTTTCAATACTTGTAACTCGAATTCTATTGTTTTTGATTCGTAATCTGATTGGTTGACAAACTCGAGTGTTCATGATTAGAATAATGGCCTTACGACCACCATCACCATCACCAGACAGTGATGATGATGATAGTAACGAACTTTATTTATTCAAAGCGATCTAAGTGACCAAACAGTATAACAAATGATCTTGGTGATCTTGGTGGTTAGGGTCGAGTCTTAGCAGAGTCGTATAACAGCAGGGACACTCCCGTTATAACCTGGRTGTCTATTCCAGACTACACCGCATGGCTCGTTATATGGGGTAGGTGCCAATGGACCATGAATCAGACATTTCAAAAATATCTCACCGAGTCCGTATTTCTGGGAAATCGGGGACTCAGGATGGGTCCTAATTGCTTTGGGTCTCCAGCCAAAACAAGCTGTCCTCTCATTGGGTTAAGAAGGCCTGCGATTGGTATGAGACATTCTGGTTCGACTGCATGACCTGCTTCATCGATGAAGATGTGAGTGAAGTGATCTCGACCACAATTTCCCGAAACGAGCCTTAAAAGGGCAAGAAAAGAAGTGTATGAAAAACTTGTAAGAAGTTAAATACTAGACATGGGGAGATAAATTCCCGCGATTCTCAGACAACGCCTAAGTCCAAATTTACCTAGCTAGGGATACCACAAAAGCCCTTTGCGACTAAAACTTTTTTTCATGTTATACAATCGGAAATCCTGTGAATTTGGTGAGAACTTTCGTCCGTGCCAAAGCGCGCTCTCATTTGAGCCCCTTTACTTCCATCTCCAGGGCTCGCGCAACGCAAGTAAGAAGTGTTTATCATAAAATTAGTGTACATACTTTCCTGCTGTGACCATGGTCGTCACGATTATACGATAATTCCTCTTCATTTCCGATAAACTAGGATAGAACACTTCCTTGGTTAGGGGATCGAAATTCATCACACGACATTCCTAGGCACAAAGAATGACATGTAAGGTAACGATTTTCAACGCGGTGGTGGATCTTTTTTATCTCAAAATAAGTTTGTTGTTCGTTTCAGCTATTATTAACTATGAAGTGTTGTCTTGCTTTCCGCTCTGCTCTGCTCTGCTCTGCTCTGCTCTGCTCTGCTCTGCTCTGCTCTGCTCTGGTTTGGCTTGTTATATTAGCGCGGAATGTTCTTGAATTCCCTAAACAGTATATTTCTCCTGAAGCAACCTTGCGTAGCTTAGTCTACGTTTAAAAGTCATTCTTTGATGAATACCTTAATTTTCTCTGGAATGAAGTCCCATGGTCTTGAAGAGGCGTACATTCTGAGCACGTAACGTTTCTCGATGTGAGGCAGCAGTCTTTCGGTTATCAGGTCAGCGGCGCTATTCTCTGGGGCACACGCCAAAATAAATGAGCTGCTTATATTATGGTGTGTCTAAGGAAGAAAGAATATTGTTTTTGAAATACTCAGTTTTATTTGTCTTAACACTGCTCTCCACTTTGTGGCCATATTATACCACCCAAGACCTTTGATTAAAGTCGTCATACATGAACTAGATCCGGTAAAAGTGAACTATGCTGCATAAGAAGTCCAGGAAAGCTTTTACCTGTTTTATTGCCTCCACGAAAGTACTTGTCTTTCCTGTCCCAGGTGGGCCAAAGATCAAATACGGAGCAGGGCGAGATGTTCCCTTGGTAATGTTTTCTACAGCTGTTCTCTGTTCTTCGTTCAGCTTGCGCTCGAACAGAGACCTATCAATAAGGAAACTCAACAAATAACATTCTCRAAGGCAGGGGTGCAATGGTATCCCCACTTTTTTAGTAAGTTGAACTTCGCATTTTGTAACGAAAGTGATGTAATTAGGCATACATAGCACTAAATTAACGCTCGTGACAAACTCGCAAAATGCGAGTAAAATTTTGAATTTAGCAAGTAAAAAAAACTAGCTAAGTTTTGCAAGTATGACCACAGTCCAGAGATTGAAACGTTTAGGACCCGCACCAAGTCATTCCATTCTCATTCCCCGCCATCTATCGCTAGTGACTCTGAAAGTTTTCTTATTGAGAACAAAACTTACTAGCAAAGTTTTACTAGTAGGTTTAAAAGTTAATTTCGTCCCATGCATGAAAAAAACGTAGACAATGAAGATATAGCAAAAAAGATCGTCAAAGTAAATGACTCATAAAAATGCTAATTTGAATCTTTGGACTGAAAATTGTAAGTACACCGTTTACTAGAGGGAAGGARAATGTTTTTGGGTGGAGACGAGAATGTTAATCATGCAGACATCCCTATTTTTTAAACTTCGCCTCCTATGATCCCGAAAAGCTTCAATAAGATCTAATAAAAGGGTTGGCTATTTAAATTCTTTCGTTAATTTTGTACGTCAGAATTTCCACGTACCTTACTGAGACATCGTTTTCGCCACACAAGCAGATAGTATTAGGTTCCGGAAAAAGAACGTATTTTAAGGATGGATTCTGGTCGAGGTTTTCGTATGAACGGTGCTGCATCTTCGTGGTCAGGCGATTAAAAGTAAAATGAATGCCAAACTTTTGCCCTGCGATGAAACCCATGCTGAAAAAATTGAAGTAAAGGAAAATGGTAGCCTCCTCCTCATGCATCTCTCTTGTCTCTTCTCTTCTTTTTAATATTGGGCTTCCTGTGTCTTTAGGATGAGGGGGACTGAGGAGAGGGGAGAAGAAAGAGAAAGAAAAGAGAGAGATGCCTCTCCTCTTTCTTTCTCTCTCGCCTAATTAGCGCCTAGTCTCTTTCGACCCCAATTCGCGACACA